CTCTCTTCTGACCTCAATCACGCTTCTCAGTCCTCTTGCCTAGATATTTGCTAGGAAAGGTCAATCCCGCAGCACTCCTACATGCACCAACCGTCTTCCTTCAGAGTCTTTGAAATTTGCGGGACAAAGCAAGTAGCTCACTCTAGCCAAAACAGCATGGGCTTTGGAATCAGAAGGACCTTGGTCTGAAATCCTATTCCACCATATATTATTGTATGATTTAACTTACCTACTCCTAAATTTAATCTGTGAAAAGAGATGACTTTACAGACAGAAATGAGCAACATGAAGAAGACTGGCACATGAAAGAATCTAAAATTGTAGATTTATTTTTCTTTTACCACTGTAATTTATGTACAAAAGAAAACCTGAACTGAGAGAGAACCTGCAAAAATATAATAGTTTTTTTAAATAAAGGAAATGTTTAAATCCTTTTAAATGTCAAGAATAATAAAATTATAAAATACAGCTTTGAAGAAAAATAACAAACTGTACCCCAACAGAATTATTTAGAGTTAATATGTTTCTGGGTGATCATTTTAACAACTTTGAATTATATTTAGAGCTTTTACACACTTACAATGATTTTGTTTATGAAACTTTTATTCTGCTTTTATTTTACATCATATTGCAAATATTTTGCAAGGCTATAATTTAATCTTCATAAAATTTGTTTTAGTAAACGTTATTTCATCGAACAATATTATTATGGTTTACATCTACTCATCTATTATGAAACAATTGAGGTTTTTAATTATTTGGTCCTATAGAAAGTGTTAAAATCACTTCTCTGACCTCACACAGTACCTAGCATCCTACTACCTCAGCACTAATCAAACACAATCAGAGCAGTCTCCTCTCCATCTTATACAGGTATCACTGATACTTAAATGACCAGGTAGGGCAGAATCTAGCAGATTCTCTTGGGAACCTCAGGCTTTTAAATAGGATATGAGAAATGGAGATTTATAGTTGTAGGATTTTTACAGTCCTTTAAACTGTTGATTTTCCTTATTTTCTACTTTATCTCATCACCATAAGCAGGATTAAAAGGAAAAGGCTCTTGGTATTTGATATGCAATATTCTTAAGCTTTATTTAATAATTATAACAGCAAGAGAAGTCTCAAAAAAGGTTGGTATCATTAAAGTGGCAAAGAATTACTAGCTGGCTACCACCAGAAAGAACAGCTATGGGTGTTGGAAGTAGTAGCTTTATGGGGAGAAAAGTGCTAATTAATAGCTCAACAGACAAAGGTTTCTCTTAAAAATTATAAAATCCCTCAAGGATGTAAGTGATTATACTCAAACAACAATATCCCACTGATAAGTAGACAAAAAGGCATAGAAAGAAAGATTCAGGGTAGAAAACAGATATGGCTGACAATGAGGAAAATTCACCTTGTAAGAAGTATTATCAGTAAATAAAAGAGAGAAAGAGACATAGAGAGAGAGATAAAGACAAAAAGATGGCTTAAGGTCCCATTACATAAGCCTCAAAAGTCACAGAGAAAATGTTGTATGTAACTGAAGGCGCTGACGGGATGTCCAGAGACCGCAGTAGCTTACAGGATCAAGTGCAGGTAAGAGAAACGTTCATTTGAAAAGGGTTTCACATGAGGAGAGCTTCAGGAACTTGTATGTGGAAAATCACCTCCCTCAGGGGTAGCAGTTGTGGCGACCTCATTCCAAATCACAGTGCTGATTCAAGTCCCAGCTACTCCAGTTCCTGCCACTCATGTGGGAGATACATATGAAATTCCCTGGCTTCTGGCTTCAGCCAGGCCTACTGGTGGCTGTTGTAGGCATTTGGGGAATGAACCAGCAGATGGAAGATCTCCTTCTCTCTTTATCTCTCCCCATCAACCTGTCATTCTGCCTTTCAAATAAATAAATAAGAAAGAAAGAAAGAAAGAAAGAAAGAAAGAAAGAAAGAAAGAAAGAAAGAAAGAAAGAAACTTTCTTTAAATACGGTTCATCAATTGCCCAGGAAGTGAAGCCAGTAATACATCATTGTACTCTCAGACAAAGAAACTAAGAGAATTCCCACATACAACCCAGAAACCAGAGCAGGTTATTAGAGATCTTGCCTGAGGCCAGATAAATTAACATGAACAGCAGACACAGAAAACAAATTCAGGATTCCCTCCTCTAGGTCTGTTACTTGAGACAGCATTTCCTTTCTCTCAAGCATTTCTGAAAGATAATTATCAAGATAACATGGATAAATTCCCCAAAATATGCTCTGATACTGAGCATGCAAAATGGGTAACTGGGCATGCAATTGTAAATTATTCAACTGGAGCCTGAAAAAGATGCTTGTGTACTTCCCTCATCTGTTAACTCACTGGGCACATACCACTTCAGAATTCTAATGGTGGACAATTTCATTATTATAGTCCTTTCTGGGTCACTCATGAAAATAGGTAGGTCACCTTGATCACCAAAAATTCAGTAAGTAAGATCCCAGCAGAAATAATGGGTCATCAAAGAAGGAGGTACCTTTCTCTGAAGGGAGGAGAGAACTTCCACTTTGACCATGGCCTTGTCTAAATATGATCAGAGTGGCTGAACTCAGAGGGCTTCCATAGCCTTGGCTACTCATGACAAGAGCCTAGGGTGATTACTGATGCCATAAACAAGAGTGTCAATTTGTAAAGTCAACAACAGGAGTCACTGTGCACTTACTCCTCATGTAGGATCTCTGTCCTTAATGTGCTGTACATTGAGATTTAATGCTATAACTAGCACTCAAACAGTATTTTTCACTTTATGTTTCTGTGTGGGACCAAACTGTTGAAATCTTTACTTAATGTATGCTAAACTGATCTTCTGTACATAAAGAGAATCGAAAATGAATCATGATGTGAATGGAAAGGGAGAGGGAGTGGGAAAGGGGAGGGTTGCAGGTGGGAGGGACGTTATGGGGGGGAAGCCATTGTAATCCATAAGCTGTACTTTGGAAATTTATATTCATTAAATAAAAGTTTAAAAAAAAAAGAAAAGAGAGAAAAGCAATATCTATCCAGGATAGCCATGACTTCCAACTACTACATTTTTTTTTCTCATGGTACTATAAGATCTTACTCATTCATATAAATATATCAAGCTGGAGCAGACATAAAAATCAAAATACTAAAGGTCATTTTCCTTCCAAAAGATGAAGCAAATTAAAAAAATCTTTTTTTGATAAAAGTATTTCTAAAAAATATAGTTATCTAAGACAGAATAATCATTGACATGGAGAATAATGATTCTCAACATCACCTTTTCCTTATCCCTAGGATTATAAATGCATCAAGTGTTTCATGACAGAAAAAATGTTTTAAACATCTATAACCAAAAAGAAAACTTAAAGCTACATAGAGATAAGCACAGCTAACTCAGGGACTGCCTACTTCTAGTAATACTATATATGATATATGACTAATGTAGGTATACGTTTACCAATAAAAATGAGATCATATTGTACATACTGTTTTGAAATCTGCTTTTCCAAGTAAGAAATACTGAACAATGTTTTCAAATATATATACACTAACTTAATGAGTGAATGATACCACATTACATAATTATATTGTAATTTATTTCCCTAACATATCTGTTTGATAGATTTTTAATTTATGCCAACTCTTCATTATACAAAACACATCAGGAATTTATAATAGACTCATAACTTCTAAAATAACAATGGATTGTGTAGCTCATCAAAAACAGAAACTTATTTTTCACATTTGTAGAAGTTCAAGATCAAGGCTCCAGTAAACTCAGTATCTTTTGAAAACCCACATCCTGGTTCATAAAAGGCATTTTCTTGCTACATACTCAAATGGTGGAAGGAAGAAGACAGCCACCTGGAGCCTCCTTTTTATGGCCACTAATTTCATTCATGAAGGCTCCATCCTCAGGATCTATCAAAGTGCAAAGCTCCATTTCCACAAATGTACTACACTGGTAATTCAGCTAAGTGTATGAATTTGGGGGATACACAAGCATTCAGATCTGTGAGGAGCTGAAATCTCTTTTGAAGGAGCACTAAATTTTCATGCACGTTTTCTAATCAATTTTTTTCCTGTTGGTACTTGGTGACCTGTGGACTACTATGACTCCTTCTCAAGACATTTGCCAAATTCTAAAACTGAAGAAGGCAAAAGCTGAATATATAAGGTTTCTCTAAAAAGCAAACAAATAGTTCTCATTGGTGAAGAAGAGACAGTGACATGCTCTTAATAAAACCCCGATGGAACCATACACTGGCTACCTGAGCAAAACAGAAGTATACACTACAACTACAATCCAAACTTGCCCCAGATCAGTCCATGACCAGATCAAGGTGATCAGCCTCAAACTGCAAACTACCTGCTGATCCCACCTAGTTAGTTAAAGAAAGGATGAAGCTTTGCTAGTGGAAGACAGTCTCACCTTGAATTTCTACATGCTTTAAACACAATGTATGACATCAACCAAAAAGTTTTAAGACACAGGATCATATGACCAAAAATCAAGGGGAAAAAAATTGGAAACAAATTCATCCATGTGTAGGTAAAATCTACATAAGAGTTAGTAAGCAGTAACTAATGACTATGATGAATATTTATATGCCAAAGAAAACATATAAGACAAATTCAATAAAAAAAAATGAACAGTGTCATCACACAATTTGAGTGTATGAAAAAAATTAAACTAATAGAACTAAAAGAAAGTTTCTTTCTTTATTTCTACCAAGGCTTATATTATATCTTTGTGCTATTTGCCTTGATGTTAGTAGGAAAATAAGTAGACAAGATACTAGTAATCATTATCAGAATAAACAAATGCAAATCAATGAAAATATGAAAGACGACGACTCTAAGTATAATTAAGGATTAATCATTATGGTATGAATTTGATATACTGAAGAGCTTCCTGGCTAGTTGAAGAAGAAACTAACCTCTTTCCCCAAACCAGATTTTAAAAGAACTTTTTCTATCTGAAGGAAAAATTAAGAGCAACTGTCACTTACAGGAAGGTGTGTGAATACAGCAAAGGTGCTACGCAGAAAGGCAATGAGGTCTACCAGGTAGTCACTAGCTTTGTTGTCTAAGTCTCCCGTCATCCAGTCGTAGTCTGCCAGCTGTAGGAACTGGTCAATCTTCTGGTTTAAGTTGGTATAAATCTCTTCTTCAGCTGCATGTCGAGCATCCTGTGAAATAATATAAAACATGAAAATCAGTCGCATTTCCTTCATGAGAAGGGTGAAAATATATGAGTTGAAGCCACCTCAAACGTACATTCATTAACATAATTGGGAATATTAAGGCACAAGAGTTGCCTCTGATTCTTAGTTATTCAAAAGCAGAATGTAGTCTCCAAGAAAAGCTATTATTTTATTTCACTAAATGTGGAAAATCCCCTCACTACCCTTAGCAGTCTGCATCCTTTTGTTTCGTTTTTGTCTCTGTTCAAAGGTAAACTTGCTGCCAGGATTCTACTCCTTTTCAACTATTCTGGGCCTCTAAAAAAGTTTCCCTCCTATAACATCAGCCTTTCTATATCTTCAAGTTCCTTCACATAGCTTATAACTATTTCAAAGTTCCTACTAATATTAATATCCCCCTATCTTTTTTACAATCAAACTACGTTTTTGAAGATTTGTTTTATTTATTTGAAAGGCAGAGAGAGAGAGGGAGAGAGAGAGAAATATCTTACATACACTGGCTCAGCCCCAAAAGGTCCACAACAGTCAGATCTGGGTCAAGAAAAAACCAGGGGGCAGGAACTCCAAGCAAGTATCCCAGACAGGGACCCAAGTATTTGGATGATCATCTGTTGCCCTCCGAGGCACGTTATCAGGAAGCTGCATGGAAGCGAGGCAGCAAGAACTGAACTGACACTCTTACAGGAGATGCAGGCATCCCAAGCCATGGCCTATCCTGCTGAGCCACAATACCCTCATCCTTAGCCCATTTTTTAAAAATTGGGTTGTTTTCATGACAGCAAGTTGTTTGAGGTCTTTATGTATTCTTTTTAATAGAAATTTATTTATTTACTTGAAAGTTAGAGCTATGGAGAGAGAAGGAGAGATACAGTGAGAGATCTTCCATCAGCTGGTTCACATCCAATAGCTGCAACAGCTGGGTCTGGGCCAGATTGAAGCCAGGAGCCAGCTCTTCTTCTGTGTCTCCTACATGGGTGGCAGGGGCCCAAGCAAGTGGGCCATCTTCTGCTGCTTTTCCCAGGCCATTAGCAGGGAGCTGGATTGGAAGTGGAGCAGCCTGGATACGAATTGGTGCCCACTGGGATGCTAGCATTGCAGGTGAAGGCTTTACCCACTATGCCACAAAGCCAGTCCCTCCATGTGTATTCTGAACACTAATTTTTTTAATCAGCAATATGGTTTACAAATATATTCTCCTATTCTGTTCACTTGGTTGATGTTTCATTTGCCATGCAGAATCCTTTTAGTCTGATGAAATCCCATTTATCTATTTTGTCTTTTGTTGACTTTTCTCTTGGAGTTATATTTAAAAAAAATCATTGCCTAGATCATATAATTAGTATCTTTCCCCATATGTTTTTTCTAGTAGTTTAACCATTTCAGTTATTATATTTAAGTATTTAATACTTTTTGAGAAGATTTTTCCACATGGTATGAAAAGAGGTACTAATTTCATCCTTGTGCATCTGAATATCCCAACTCCCACCACTGAGGATACTATGCTTTCCTCTTTCATTCCTGTTTTTTCAATGAACAAAGATTTCACTATTTTCTATAGCTAAGTAGTATTCCACTGTGTATTTATACCACATTTTCATGATCTAATATTCAGTTGTTGGACATATGGGTTGATTCCATAGCTTACCTACTATGAAATCAGCTGCTTTACACGTGGGTACAGATAACATTTCAAATGTTAATTTTATTTCCTTTGGGTAAGTTCTAAGAGTGGGATGGCTAGGGCATATTGTAGATCAATTTTAAAATTTCCAAGAAATCTCCATACTGTCTTCAATAATGGTTGTACTAGTTTACATCCCCACCAAATACATGAGGTATTTTTTCTCTACATCCTTACCAGCATTTGTTATTTCTTGAATTTTAGATGATAATCATTCTAACTTGGATGAACTCAAACCTCATTGTGGTTTTTATTTGCATTTTCCTGATAGTCATTAATCTTGAACATCTTTTCATGTGTCTGTTGGTCATTTGTATTTTATTCTTTGAAAAATTACTATTCATATCCTTTAACATTTCTTAACTGGATTATTTATTTTGATTTTGTTGGGTTTCTTGAGTTCCTTATATATTCTGTATATTAACCCTTAATCAGATTTATTGCTTGCAAATATTTTCTCCCATTCTGTCAGTTGCCTGTTATTTTGTTGAGTGTTTCCTTTGCTGTGCAGAAGTTTGTTAGCTTGATGTAACCCATTTGTTTATTTTCTTTTACTACCTGGGATTCTGGGGTCTCATCTAAGAAGTTTTTGCCAATGCCAGTGTCTTACAGTGTTTCACCTGTGTTTTCCTCAGTGGGTACCACAAAAAGAAAAAGAAAAAGAATTATCAGGAATTACTACAAACAGCTACATGCCAAAAAATTCATAAATTTAGAAGAAATGGATCAATTTCTGCACATATACAATTTACCAAAATTGAGGTACGAAGATATAGAAAACCTAAATAGACCAATAACCAAGACAAAGATCGAATAAAACACCCTACCAACAATGAAAAGCCCAGGACAGAATAACTTCACTGCTGAATTCTTTCAAACTTCCAAAGAAGAACTAATCTCATTTCTTCTTAAACTATTCAAATCAATTAAAAAATAAGAAATCCTCACAAACTCCTTTTATGAGGCCAGCATCACCTAGTTTCAAAACCAGAAAAGATACATAAAAAAAAAAGAGAACTATATATCAATATTCCTGATGAACACAGATACAAAAATCCTCAACAGAATACTAGCTAATCAAATCCAAGAACACATAAAAATTCATCCACCTGAACCACGTGGGATTTATCCCTGGGATGGAGGGATGGTTCAATATACACAAATCAATAGATATGATACATCACAAGTTGAAGAAAAAAAACATACTTATCTCAATAGATGCAGAGAAAGTTTATCATAAATTACAATAGATTTTCATTATAAAAATCTTAAGCAAATTGGGTATAGAAGGAACATACCTCAATACAATCAAGGTAATATATGACAAACTCACAGCCAGCACCATATTGAATGGAAAAAGCTAGAAGCATTTCCACTAAGATCTGGAACCACCATAACTATTCAATATACTTCTAGAAGTTTTAACCAGAGTTGTATGCAAGAAAAAGAAATCAAATGGTCACAAACTAGAAATGCGAAAGTCAAATTATCACTGTTAGCAGATGATCCTATACAAAGGGAAACCAAAAGACTCTACTAAGAAACTACTGGAACTCATAAAAGAGTGCTAAAGTTACAGGTTATAAAATAAACACACAAAAATCAATAGCATCTGTATACACAAACAATGCCATGGTTGAGAAAGAACTTGTAAGATAAGTACCATTCAAGAGGAGCCAAAAACTTTAAATACCTTGGGAAAAAATTAACCAAAGATGTAGAACATCTCTACAATGAAAACTGCAAAATATAAAGGAAAGAAATAGAAGACACAAAAAATGGAAAAATTTTCCATGTTCAAGGATTGAAAGAATTAATATCATCAAAATGTCCAAACTACTCAAAGCAACATACAGATTCAATATAACTAAATGAAACTAACAAGGATATCCTTCTCAGATCTAGAAAAAAAAAAAACCAGATAATTCACATGGAAACACTAGAGATCCCAAACAGTGAAAGAAAAAATAAAGACAAAGCCAGAGGCATCCCAAAAGCAGATTTCAAGACATATTACACGGCCGGTGCCACGGCTCACTAGGCTAATCCTCCGCCTTGCGGCGCCAGCACACTGGGTTCTAGTCCTGGTCGGGGCGCCGGATTCTGTCCCGGTTGCCCCTCTTCCAGGCCAGCTCTCTGCTGTGGCCAGGGAGTGCAGCGGAGGATGGCCCCAGTACTTGGGCCCTGCACCCTATGGGAGACCAGGAGAAGCACCTGGCTCCTGCCATTGGATCAGCGCGGTGCGCCGGCATGGCGGCCATTGGAGGGTGAACCAACGGCAAAGGAAGACCTTTCTCTCTGTCTCTCTCTCACTGTCCACTCTGCCTGTCAAAAAATAAAAATAAAAATAAAAAGACATATTACAGTGATGTTATAATCTAAACATCCTGGTATTTGGCACAAAAATTGACATGTGGACCAATGGAACAAGTTAGAAACCCTAGAAATTAATCCATGCATCTATAACCAGCTAGTCTTTGAAAAATGATCTAAAATCACTCCCTGGAAAAAAGAAAGCCTTTTCCACAAATGGTGTTTTGAAAACTGGATCTCCACATGCAAAATTATGAAACAAGATCACTACCTTACACCCTATACAGAAATTAATTCACAATGAATCAAAGATCTAAACCTACGACCTGAAATCATCTTTGTTCTTGGCATTTTTATCAAAAACCAACTGATCATAAATAGATGTATTTATTTCGGGGTTCTCTATTCTATTCAACTTACCTAGGTGTCTTTTTCTTCCTTCATACCATTATATTGCTGTTTTGATTATTACTCTCCAGAATAGTTTTTAATCCTAATAAAGTCTAACCCCGTTGCCAGAGGTGGGCATTTGGCACAGCCGTTGAGATGTCCTGATATCCTTTATGAGAGGTCCTGGTTTCAGTCCTGGCTCCTCTAATTCAGATCCAGGTTCTGTTCAGGCATATCACTGAGAAGTAGCAGATGATAGCTCACGTGTTTGGGTCCCTGCTACTTACATTGGAACACCTGGGGTGAGTTATAGGCTTCTGGCTTCTGGCTTCTGGCTTCAGCCTGGCCAAACCCTGGATACTGTGGGCATTAGGGGGATAATTCCATGGATGGAAGATCTTTCTCTTGCTGTGTGCATACACACACCTGACTTTTAAATGAAATGAAAATAATGAAAAATGCAAAAAGGTAAAATTTAAGTCACTGCCAAACCCAAAGTTGCCTAGATTTTCTCATGTTATCTTTTAGGTTTTTTTAATTTATCTTTTCTGTATAGCATTGTGTCTCATATTTATATTTTACAATTAGAGCTAATTTTTGAGAAAAGTATAAGGCATGTTTCTATGATCTTTTCCTTTTTTCACTTGAGAATTCCAGTTGTTCTAGTACTTTTTTTGCCTTTTCTCTGTCAAATATGAGCAGACCATATTTGTAAGGGTCTATTTGTGTGCTCTACAGTCTGCCCATTTACTGTTGTATATTCTTTTTCAACGCCACATGGTCTTCATCAGTTTTTATAGTAAATCTTGAACTCAGTGTTCTCCTTCAATATTGTGTTCATTCCTCTGGAAGTCTTATTTTTCCATATATACTTTAGAATCTGTTTGTTGACACCTACAAAACAATTTTCTTAGATTTTGATTTGGATTACACTGAATCTATACGTGGGGAAAAGTGAGATCTTAATAATGTAGCATCCTCCAATCCACAAATATGGAAAATACCTCCATCTATTTAGACCATTCTTTGATTTCTTTCATCAGAGTTTTGCAGTTTTCCTCACATGCATTTTATTTTTTATATTTGTAGCTAAGTATCTTATTTTTATATTTTTAGTGGTAATGTAAATGGTATTTTGTTTATAGTTTCAAATGTGGGTTGCACACTGCTGTCATAACAAAAGCAGTTGACTTTTTTGTATTAACTTCTATCCTACACTTCGCTATAATTACTTATTAGTCCCAGTCATTAGTTTGCTATTTGTTTGGAATGTTCTACACTTATCTACATTATCTGCAAACAAAGATAACTTTTTTTCATTAACAATGTGTATATTTTATTAGCGTTTCTTGTCATATTAGACTTGATAAAAGAATGGTATAAGGAGACATTTTTATATAGTTCCTAATCTTATCAAGAAATCAACTTGTTTCTGATCATTAAATATGATGCAGGGTTTATTGTAGATACCCTTTATGATACTCTTTATGAAGTAGGAGAAATTCTCCTGTATTCTAGATTGCTAAGAATTTTTATCATAAATGAGTGTTTATCTGCTTCCACTGATAGGATTGTATAATTTTTCTTCTTCAGCATGTTTATTTTATATATTACATTGATTGATATTTTAAAGTTGAACTAGCCTTGCAGACCTAGAATAAATACCACTTGGTCATGGTTAAGACTTTTTATACATTGTTGAATGTGATTTGCTAATATTTCACAAGGCTTAAACATCATCTTTACACTGATGAGTTCAAATTTTTACTTCCAGGTCTAATTTTGCTCTGCCATTTTACCATCTTCATGCAAATGGCAACTAAGTGTTGATTCTATCCTCACTCACAAAATCTATTAATGTACCCTATCCCCATGCATTCAGTTCAAAGGTCTTGGAATTTGCCTTGACTTCTCTCTTTCCCTTAAAATAGCAAATGCAAATTAACTTCAAAAATATCTCTTAAAATTTCTGCTTCTATCACTCCAGTCTAGATGACTAGTATCTCTTATTTGGACTACTGCAATAGCCTCCAAATTAGACTCTCTTCTTCCATTCTTACTGACTTACAGTGTATTTATTTTCCACTTAATAACCAGTATTACCCATAAAAAGGTAAATCAGGTCACCACTAACTTCAATGTTCTAAATGACTTCAACACCTCATTCCAGAATAAAGTATAAAGTATTTACTATGTGCCAGGTCAGAAATCACCTGATTCCAGATTAGCTCATCTTTAATTCATCCCTATTACCAGTGACAAATATATACAAACTGTCAGATTGACCCCCTTGGCTATTCCTTGAACACACAAGTACCTTCCATTGTATTGTTCCCATTGGTGGTCATTCATATTTATTAGAATGATTCAATTTCGTATCTATCAAATGATTCAATTTCTTGTTTCATTTGAGTTAATTTTTCCCTAGTTCTACCACTGCCTGATCATATATTCAATGTTTAAAGTTTTGTCTTAACCATGTTTATTTTAATTTTTTTTTTTTTTGCTGATTACAAGGGGAAAAAAGTAGAGAAAGAAAGAGAAAGGAGAAAGAAAGAGAGGGAAAGAGTGAGAGAAAAAGCTCCTATCAACTGGTTCACTCCCCAGATGCATCAGAAGATGGCCCAAGTCCTTGGGTCCCTGCACCCACATGGGAAACCTGGAAGAAGCTCCTGGCTCCTGGCTTCAGATCCGTGTGGCTCCATCTATTGTGGCCAGTTGGGGAGTGAACCAGCGGATGGAAAACCTTTCTCTCTCTCTCTCTCTCTGCCTCTCATTTTCTTTGTGTGTAACTCTGGTTGACTCCCAAATAAATAAATAAATAAATCTTGAAAAAAAAGTTTGTTATGTCACAATCCACCCTTTTAACAGTTAAGATGTGGTCCTCTTACTTTCTCTGATTAGTTCCTATTTTAAGCCTACATGACAGTGTAACACCTATGTAAGGCATTTACCCTCCAGAATATCATCTACCAATAATCTTTCTTTTGCTCTATATCAGTATCATTTTTTCCATTTGATTCAATACCAGATAAAAACTAGTGCTGTGGCCTTGTAAAATAACTATAAAATCATTAACTGTAATAGCAGACATTTTATTTATTTATTTATTTATTTATTTTGACAGGCAGAGTGGACAGTGAGAGAGAGAGACAGAGAGAAAGGTCTTCCTTTTTCTGTTGGTTCACCCTCCAATGGCTGCTGCGGCCGGCACACCACGCTGATCCAAAGCCAGGAGCCAGGTGCTTCTCCGGGTCTCTCATGGACTGGAAGAGAAGCAACCGGGACAGAACCGGCGCCCCACCCGGGACTAGAACCCGGGGTGCTGGCACTGCAGGTGGAGGATTAGCCTATTGAGCCGCGGCGCCAGCCAACAGCAGACATTTTAAAGAAGGTTAAAAGTTGGTCAAGAGGACACAGGAGGGGATGACTAAGCAGAAAATTTTAATTATTATTATGTCATCACTAACCACAATTATCTAGAACATACTGAAAAAGTCTTGACTGTCGTGGAAGTCAACTTAGGAAATAGTCATTCATGTAAAAAAAGATCTGAAGAAGTATATAGAAGATACAGTTGTAAACTTTTTTTTTCTTTACAGTTTAAACACCCCAAAACTGGTACTGGTACTTGTTTTCTAAAAAATACAGAAGAGAAGCAAAAACTCTTCAAACTTCTGATGCTCAAGAGCATGCTATACATCATCTAGCAGAAACAAAGCCACGTTAGGTAGGATGGCTCAGATTGTATACCAAAAGCAGTTCCACGGTGCTGTCGAGTGTCTCACCTTGAAAGTTGTGGTGCCATAGAGCTTGGTGGTGTGGACTGTTTCTGGGAGTACATTAGTGATATTGGTGATGAATTCTTCCAGGTACTTACAGGATTTCTCCAAGTGTGTTGTATTGATAATAATCTGAACAAGCTGGAAAACAAGCATGTATAAAGGTCATTTGACAATTCACACCATGATGAATGCCCCAAATGAATCTGCTATACAAACAAAATCAAAGTCACTTTGGCAAATGCCATCCACACTCAACAAAGGGTATATTGAGATATGACCTTACATTTCACTCTTTCCATGAAGCCTTCTGGAATCCCTCCAACATTTTGTATTTTCCCCTATTATGGGACCATTTGTCAATCTATTTTAAACATGTTTTCCTCTGTTTAAAAAAAGTCTAAGAGCAAATACTATTACTGTTTAGTAAAGTGCCTGCCAATAAATAATTTCCAAATGAATTAAATAAGTGAACTCCCACTAAAAAAAAAAAAAAAGAAAAAAAAAGAATAAATGAAACAATAGCAAGAAGTTTCAAAATTAGGCACCATCAACAGAGAGATGTGAGAATAGACTGCAGGACATTAACAAACAATATCAGTGTATGGAACAAAGGAAAACGGGACTGAAAGAGAAAGCAGAGGATTAATGGTTTACAAATTACTGATTTTGAGAAAGTTCTTTAACTTTTCTAGGCCTGTTTCTTTATCTGAAAAATGTTAATAAACATTTCCAGCTCACAGAGTGATTTTGAGGATTAAATATTCTGTTGTTAATATTATTTCCCTTTTCTCAAAGAAGATGATGCTACTGGTAAGATAAAAAGTCATTGTTGGAGGCTGGCACTGTGGCATAGTAGGCTAAGACTCTGCACGTGGCGTTGGCATCCCATACGGGCATTGGTTTCTATCTCGGCTGCTCCTCTTCTGATCCAGCTCTCTGTTATGACTTTCGAAAGCAGCAGAAAATGTACCAAGTACTTGGGCTCCTGCACCCATGTGGGAGACCTGGAAGAAGCTCCTGGCTCCTGGCTTCAAATTTGCCCAGCTCCAGCCATTGTGGCCATCTAGGGAGTGAACCAATGGATGGAAGACCTTTCTCTCCATCTCTCCCTCTCTCTGTAACTCTCTCACTCATATAAGGAAATAAATCTTTAAAAAAAAAAAGTTATTGCTGTAAATTAGTTGGGGAGAAGAATGAGGAATAATAATTATTGGCTACATGTTAAAGTTTATAACTACTGCTTCCTTTAAAATTTTTCCCATTTTAAATTAAATTCTATAATTTTAATTTTATTTATTTAAAAGGCAGAGAGAGAGAGAGAGAGAGAGAGAGAGAGAGAATCTTTCACCCACTGATTCACTTATTTAATGTCCACAACAGCTGAGTCTGGACCAGGCTGAAGACAGCAGCCCAGAACGCAATCTGAGTCTCCTATGTGAGTGGAGGGACCTCAATTCTTGAGCCACCACCTAGTGCCTTCCAAGGAGCTCATTATCAGGAAGCTGGAAGCAGAAGTAGAGCTAGACTTGAACCCAAGAACCATGGCGCAGGATGTGGGCACTGTGCACCAAACGACCATGCTACTTCTTACTACAGCAGAAATGAAAACAAAGTCATTTTCTCTAAACCACATAACATAAATGGAGCAAAATACTCAAATCCAAGTCATCTACATTCAAATTATGAATTCATCTAATGTCTTCTTCCCAGAAACTTTTAGCATAAGCATAAAAATGCAGTCCTGGAGTGCTGCATGTCTATACTATCGGGCTGAAATATTAGATTCTGGACTGCTATCAATGAGACTTCTCCATGTTTTGATTTTATTCTCAGTTAAATGAGAAGAAAAAAAATGTGATTCCTACTAGTAAGTCCTTAACTATGCAAATATTATAATTATTTGCATTCCTCAGGGTCTAAAAGATACTGAAAGAGGAAATGGAATAGAATCTTTTTGCCTCTTTCCTACATGAACTTCATTTTTCAGAAGACTATGTCACTGGTGGATTTGTGTCAAATAGAGGACATTTGGGTGTATACGGTTATGAGTAAACTGAGGTATTCTTTTAGTTTAGTGAATAGTGAGCCAGGGAAAGACTAGATTGATGACACAAAGGATAAACTGGAACTAGAGATGAAGGGGGGGGGCACAAGCGTTAGGTTAAATGGTTGATATGTCACTTGGATACCCATATTCCATATCACAGTGCCTGAGTTCAAGCCCTTGCTCTAAATGCAATTCCAGTTTCCTGTTAATGTGTACCCTGAGAGGCAGTAGCTTATGGTTTGGGTGGCTGGATATCTTTTATCATCCATTTAGGAGACTGAAGCTAAGTTCCAATTCCTGGACATTTAGAGAGAAAAATAGTGGATGGGAAGTCAAAATAATAAATTAATTAATTTTAAAAATGATAAGGGGATATACTATACATTTTTAAAATAAAATGATATTTCAAAATGCTGTTTATAGCTTGGATTATACTTCAGTAAGATCATTGTAGGACTAGATTCAATGCGATATCAATCAAAATACCAAAGACATTCTTCTCGGATATGGAAAAAATGATGCTGAAATTCATATGGAGGCACAGGAGACCTTGAATAGCTAAAGCAACCTTGTACAACAAAAACAGAGCCGGAGGCATCATAATACCAGATTTCAAGACATACTACAAGGCAGTTATAATCAAAACAGCATGGTACTGGTAGAAACAGATGGATAGACCAATGGAACAAAATAGAAACACCAGAAATCAATCCAAACATCTACAACCAACTTATATTTGATCAAGGAGCTAGGGACAGTCTATTCAACAAATGGTGCTGGGAAAACTGGATTTCCATATGCAGAAGTATGAAGCAAGACCCTTACCTTACACCTTACACAAAAATCCACTAAACATGGATTAAAGACTTAAATCTATGACCCGACACCATCAAATTATTAGAGAACACTGGAGAAACCCTGCAAGATATAGGCACAGGCAAAGAGTTCTTGGAAAAGACCTCAGAGGCACAGGCAGTCAAAGTCAAAATTAACAACTGGGATTGCATCAAATCGAGAAGTTTCTGTACTGCAAAAGAAACAGTCAGGAAAGTGAAGAGACAACCAGCAGAATAAGAGATTATGCAACTGATAAAGGATTAATAACTAGAATCTACAAGGAGATCAAGAAACTCCACAACAACAAAACAAACAACCCACTTAAGAGATGGGCCAAGAACCTAAACAGACATTTTTCAAAGGAGGAAATCCAAACAGCCAACAGTCACATGAAAAAATCTTCAGGTTCATTAGCCATCAGGGAAATGCAAATCAAAACCACCATGAGGTTTGACTTCACCCCAGATAGAACGGCTTACATACAGAAATCATCTAACAACAGCTGCTGGCAAGAATGTGGGGGAAAAGGCATACTAACCCACTGTTGGTGGGAATGCAAACTGGTAAAGCCACTATGGAAGTCAGTTTGGAGATTCCTCAGAAACCTGAATATAGCCCTACTACATGACCCAGCCAGCCCACTCCCTAGAATTTACCCGAAGGAAATTAAATTGGCAAATAAAAGAGCTGTCTGCACCTCAATGTTTATGGCAGCTCAATTCACAATAGCTAAGACATGGAATCAACCTAAATGCCCATCAACAGAAGACTGGATAAAGAAATTATGGGATATGTACTCTAAGGAATACTACACAGCTGGAAAAAACGAAATCCAGTCATTTGCAACAAAATGAATGAATCTGGAAAACATCATGCTGAGTGAAATAAGCCAGTACCAAAGGGACAAATATCATATGTTCTCCCTGATTGGTGACAACTAACCGATCACCTAAAAGGAAACCTGTAAAAGTGAAACAGACACTATGAGAAGCAATGACTTGATCAGCCCTTGTCCTGACTGTCGAGGAACAGCTTACTATTTTATTCTTTTGAGTATTTTCTTTTTCTCCTTAATACCATTGGTTGAACTCTTTAATTAACACACAGTATTCTTAGGTGTTTAAACCCAACTGAGAATTGATCCCTGTTAAAAATAAGAGTGGGAATAAGAGAGGGAGGAGATGTACAGTTTGGTACACGCTCACTCAGACTTACCCCTAAGGGTAATGCTAAAAACTTGCCATGGGACTCCAAACGCAATTAAGTTGGCAGGTACCAAAACCATTTTACCTGTTAAAATGACCAGTTTAAATTCACAACTGATCATAAAGATAGGAATAAGTGTCACATAAATAAGACCAGTGTCTGCTAATACTAACTGATAGAATTAAAAAGGAGAGAATGATCCAACATGTGAAGCAGGATACACAGCAGACTCATAGAATGAAAAATGCCCTAAACAGCACTCTGGCCTCAGAATCAGCCCTTAAGGCACTCAGATCTCGCTAAAAAGCCCATGAGACTTTCTCAGGCATGGAAAGCCAAGACATTGTGGCAAAAAAAAAAAAAAAAAAAATGACCTAAATGAAAGATCTCTGTGAGTGAGATCTCAGTGGAAAGAAGGGGCCATCAAAGAAGAAGGTACCTTTCTCTGAAGGGAGGAGAGAACTTCCACTTTGATTATGGCCTTGTCTAAATAAGGTCGGAGTTTGTGAACTCAGGAGGCTTCCATAGCCTTGGCAGCTCATGACAAGAGCCTCGGGTGATTACTGACGTTATAAATAAGAGTGTCAATTGTTAAATCAACAACTAGAGTCACTGTTCACTTACTCCCCATGTAGGATCTCTGTCCTTAATGTGTTGTACTATGTGAATTAACGGTAAAACTACTACTAAAACAGTACTCTATACTTTGCCTGTGTGGGTGCAAACTGTCAAAATCTTTACTTAGTAAATACTAAGTAGATCTTGTGCATATAAAGATAATTGAAAACGAATCTTGATGAAGAATGGGATGGGAGAGGGAGTGGGAGATGGGATGGTAGCAGGAGGGAGGGAAGTTATGGGGTGGGGGAAGCCACTATAATCCAAAAGTTGTACTTGTGAAATTTATATTTATTAAATAAAAGTTAAAAAATTTTAAAAATGTGTTGTACTATGAAAATTAATGGTAAAACTGATCTTCAAACAATACATTATACTTTGTGTGTCTGTGTGGGTGCAAACTTTGAAATCTTTACTCAGTATAGAGTAG